TTGCCTTTTACCAACTTCCTTTAACAGTTTTGTTGAAATACCTAATTGTGATATTTTTTCACCTATTCAAAGTTTAAAAAGCTGCAGAAGGACATAGGTGAAATATTAAGAATAAACCCAAGAAAAAACATAACGTAACACCAAGAATTTGAAAGACCTTCCTGCATGAGATGGCAAGACAGTTGTCAAATGTAGATCTATGCTAACAAAAGGATCTCTTCTCAACATAGCATCACTTTTTAAATCGTTTGTCACCAGTATTTTTAATTGCAGAAATTGGACATACTCAAACTAGAATGTGAATCTTCAGTGGTCATCCTGTTGTATTCAGAGGACTCTGCTTTTATAAAGGTTCAGTAGAATATCCCACAGGGACAAAGTGCTCTTAGGAAGACTTTAGGGCTACTACACTAGAAATACAGGATGTCAGGTTTTATATTATTAAATATTTTTTAAAATAAATTATATTTATTTCTTAAATTCACTACATGACCTTGCTTTGATGCATATTATTTCTAAGATTTTAAATATAAAGCATAGAAATTCAAAACCACGTGCTTATTCTGTGCTAAGTAAGGCTTTTACAAAGTTGAGTTTATTTGCTAATAAAAGCACTTTCGTTATTGGGGTGTGTAACTTTATTCATCCATGCAGCTAGTAAACATCAGTCTGATTTATGATAATGAGATGTAGTGGAAGGTTCACAAATATTGTATGATGATGGTAGATGACTTTGGGTAACTCTGACTCTTTTAAAGCTTTAATTTTCTCATATGTTCAAATGGGAAAGGAAATGACAAGACTATAGATCAAATAGATTAAGTTCTGTATTTAAAAGTACTTGGAATGGCTTCCAAATTAGACTGAGACTTCAACTTCATCGTATTAGCCTTATTTTTTTTTGTTTTTCTTCTTAGTGTCTGAGATTCCTCTGATGTTTTTCAACTTTTATAGAAAAAACTGATTCGTATTCTTTTTCTGTCTTATCTTCTCATAGGTGGTCCCTCTTATGTCCCCAGTATCCTCTTGTTTTCCACAGAAGATAAGGATAGCTTGTTGGTCATGTTTTACATGACAACCAAGAAAAGTGACTTTCTCAAAAATTTAAGTGGTATAGTTAGACACTGTAGACAGTAAGAATAGTGCACCAACATTCCATTTTACTTAGATGCTTTCTCCTTAGTACTTCCCACCGCTACTACATGCAGACAATCACATGTTTCAGTGGGTCTTTTATTGTCTTACCCTTGCCAATATTACTTTTTTTTTTTGGTTGGTCGTGGGCCTGTACTCTGGGCCTGGGTGCTGTCCCTCAGCACTTCAGCTCAAGGCTAGTGCTCTACCACTTGAGTCACAGCACCACTTCCCCAATATTACTTTTATGATGATGATTAATAGTTTAACACATTTATATATTACCTTCTTTTGTTTTATTTTTCTTCTTCTGAATTTATATTATACCTGTTTGTGTTGTCTTCTTAGTTCCCCTTCCTTGCACAAGAGCTTTATTATTATTTTAGCTTCTGTTTCAGTGAATGCTTCTCAGATCTCTTTTTAAATTTTATGTATGATGAATTCTGTTTTCATAGTGGCAAGGTACCAGATTCCTTTTCTTCTCTCAGGCTACTTTTCCTACAAGGCAGGATCAATCCAAATGCTTCTTTGCTGTTAGATCTTCTTCATCTTCATTGACTTTAAAGTGAAGTCACTTTAAGTGGAAGTGAGCTCTTTGTGTATCTGTCATGCACAAAGCTCAGGGTAGAGACCATTTCTTACCTCTAGTCATTTTTTCATCCTTCTTGCTGAGGGTACCTGCAACATATGCATTGTAAATCACTACCCCAGTGAATTTACTCCATGGGGATTTGTTGTGAATCTAATTTTCTGCATTGTTCAAAGAGCTAATACCATTTGGGGGCTTGTATACACATAACTGGAGCATGTAGTTGCATACTTTCCTAATACTCTTTCCTAATCTCCTTTAACATGGTATCCTGTTTGAATAGCTTCTAGAGTAGCAGAAGGATTATATATTTTCACTAATTAGCAAAGGCATTAGAAGAAGAAGAGCCCTCTGGCAGCGTTGGGTCTACCCACATCTGCACTTCGCTGCTAGAAAATTGAAATGTAGGGTTGATTCTCTATTCTTTTCTATTTTATCTGCTAGCATCCAGATGTCTCTAAACTTGGCTCAATAATTCTAATATTGATATTGGAGCACCATGTACTATGTACCAGGGTGATAGGGTGAACAGCATACTGTGATAGCCCAGTGCAGAGGCCACACTGATAGCCTAGCAGAGAGCACCTTGCACAGACCTCTGGGATGGAAATTGAGGGCTGGAGGCATTTGTCAGGGAAGGCTACAGGAGGAGGGGATTCCTGAGGAGAGACCTAAGGAATAAATGGAGATTAGTAGGCAAAGGATAAAGAAGAGTTTTCTGACAGAAAAGAGGTGGTAACACAGGAACAGAATTAAAAGGCCTGGTGCTCTGAGTGTGGGCATGCACAAGGTTACCTGTAACTAGGGAATGCAGAGTAATAATGACTGCATACCCAGTGGGAATCAGTGCACAGCATGGTGGCCTGGGAGACCATGTGTTATCTGGTCCCTATATCTCGTCCTTCCATTTGGAGGAAGCACCTTCTAGGTCACACTTCACATACTTGTGTTCATTTACAATCACAATTCCTATAGTAGGGTGATTGGAATCAAACTAGGTTTGAGCTATGGCTCTGCCATAGAATTGTGTGATCTTAAGCTGCCTTCAATTTTCTTAGCACTCTGGGAATAATATTAATGCATCATTAAAATTATCTGAGCTTAATTGAGATGGTGCTCTACAATGCACATTTTGGCATATGGTAAGTGTTATATGCTTGTTAAAATACTTTGCCATGGCTAAGTATCTGATAGGTCCCAAAGCTCTGTTAGCATCCTGCAGAATCCCAAACAACTTTCTTTCCAAATGTTGGATTTTGAAAGTTTGTTATGTAGTCTGCCTTGTGTGTGTATGTTAAAACTATTGCACATACAAAAGATTTTATATGCCATTTTTTTCCATCTGAAGTAAAGAGTTTGGATTTTCTCAGAAGTTACAATTTTTAAGGTTCAGGATGCAAGGAGTATTGGACATAAGGAATGAGGTTGGAATTGGCTGCTGTTTGTTCAAGTACTAGAAGGGTTAAGAGAAGTCCAGAGAATGTCTGCCTCTGCAGGCTCATAAGCACATATTTTAATCCACACAAACACAGAGCAGAGTTGCACTTTTGGGTACTTAGACTCTAGAAATAATCAGGTATTCAGTGCCTCATGTATGTTAATATATACAAGAACTTAAAATGAATTGATCCTACTCTTATTTCAAGATATCATCCCTATAATAATGTGCACTTGGCTTTTTTTTGGGGGGGTCCGGTCGTGGGGCCCGAACTCTGGGCCTGGGCACTGTCCCTCAGCTCTGGCTAGCGCTCTACCACTTGAGCCACAGCGCCACTTTCGGCTTTTTTCTTTTTTCTTTTTTGCTTATGTGGTGCTGAGGAATCGAACTCAGGGCCTCAGGCATGCAAGGCAAGCGCTCTTACCACTGAGCCACCTTCCCAGCCCTGCACTTGGCTTTTATAGTCTGTTCAGGCACCTCACATATGCTAGTATCTAGGACCCTCAAGTAGTTGTTCATACTTTCCCTTATATGTTCCAGAATCCTTATAACATTTTTGTCTTTAATTCCTTTAGATATTCCTGGAAGCTCCCTTTTGATAATAGCTGGTGATGTAGTGTAGAATATATTGATGGCATTTTAAAGTAAGAACATTTGATTGTACTTTTGTTCTAGGAAATTGACTTTTTAAATACATTGTACATTAGAATATATTTAGCAACTAAGTTGCTTTACTTTTAAAAATTTTATTGTCAAGGTGATGTACATAGGGGTTCCAGTTATATGAGTAAGGTAGTGAGTACATTTAACCTCATTTTTGTGAAAAAAAATTAGAAACCAGTGAGTCAAACTTTTTGTCATCAATATATCAATATTTGAAAAAAATAACAAAAGCATTTGATGTATAAAACTTCACAGAGAAATTATTATTGTAATTATATTATTTTTGAATCCTGTTGTCTCTGTTTTATTTCCTTTTTCTTTAGGCTAGCCTGCTCTGTAATTAGTAAAGGTGCATGTTTGTCTGATAGACAGAATCCTAGTGTGTGTTGGATATATGTACAAAAGTAGTATAATTTTTTTTTTTGGGGTCCGGTCGTGGGGCCTGAACTCTGGGCCTGGACGCTGTCCCTCAGCTCTTCAGCTCAAGGCTAGCGCTCTACCACTTGAGCCACAGCGCCACTTCCGGCTTTTTTCTTTTTGCTTATGTGGTGCTGAGGAATCGAACCCAGGGCCTCAGGCATGCAAGGCAAGTGCTCTACCACTGAGCCACCTTCCCAGCCCAGTAGTATAATTTTGAGGTAATATTATTGGAACATATGATTACTGTTGTTTTAATTATTTTACATCTTCTCATCTTTTAGTTTCTTTTTAAAGCATGCTAATTGGTAAATTCATGGCTGCCATATTTATGTCATTTTTAGGATATTAAAACATATATACATATAAAGTTGATAAACACTTCTGTATTTTTATTCTTTACAGTGTTGCATGTAGATTTTTCTTTCCCTATTAGATGTCATTTTATACCTGCTGAAATAAGATATTACAGATCATTGATCTTTTACATTTGCTTCGTTTATAAAACATAGCTTTTAGATCTCTGGCTGAGTAAGTATTATTCTGGGTTATTCTAACAAGTTGTTAGAAATACTCAGATTTATTGTTCAGTGGATTAGGGATTTATGGGCTACTAATGCAAATTCTGTAATGATTTGGTAGGAACATTAGTGGTGGGTACCCATTTCACTAAGTACAGTCACTTGGTAGACCGGATATAGAGGGTGGCATGTATCTAAATTTACATTTAACGTTGTTCTTCTTCCCCCCCCCCCCCAGTTGTTTTTATTTCAGTTGCTGCGAGGACTGTCTTACATCCACCAGCGTTATATTCTGCACAGAGACCTGAAACCACAAAACCTTCTGATCAGCGACACGGGGGAGTTAAAGCTGGCAGATTTCGGTAGGAAAGCAGTTAATTACCAGTCTATTTTGTCACACTGTGAGAATACCAGGCAGATGGTGGCACTGGAGTTGTTTAGATGCGCTTCTTCTGTCATCATAGATCCTGGTAAAAATACTGCTGCATAGAGTAATTCTTTTCTACCTTTTCTAACAATGCATACTCTTTTTTGGAGGTTGTAGGGGTCTTAAATAACCGGAGCAAAAATTATTTTCAGATACATTGTCAAAGGAAAATCAGTAAAATTTTTGGCACAAAGTACTCAAAGAATTTTTCATTTTGAAAACGTCAATCTCATTCAAAACTGAATAGTATATCACATTATCTAACTTCAAGTATCAGTATTTTGTCAAAATTTAACGAAATCAAAGTGAAACCTCTGAACACATATAATTTATCATTTTCAGTAGAGTTCCTTGTCCTAAAATTTTAATTACTGAGAAATCAAGGGATAGTTTAACTTTTCTAGAAGTCACCGTTGTTTCAGTTTTTTTCCATAATATTATAAATACTAGACATTTATTTGTATTTAAATGTGAGGTCTTAACTAGGCCCATGATAAGTCATTCCTTCTTTAGAAGTTTTTCATATTGCCCTATTATATTGCATGCTTTTCTCCAGACAGGCTTGTGAGGATCCAGAAGGGAGCAAAAACTCGCATCTCTTCCTTCCTTGTATTCCTTGTCTTGAACAGGCTCTGTCCTACCAGCCATCATGTTCAGACATCATTCCAGCACTAGGGGATGAAGCCTGATAGCAGCATGATGTGTTGACATCCATTGCCTCAATTATTTTTAATACATATTCTGATTAGAAATTTGCTCCATTAAGAATGGAATTAAAATATTACCCTTGGGACATAATATGCCTGAGTTTGAGATGTGGGCTTTAGCTGAAATATGATTATCTTCTCCGACTTGAGCCCTCAACAAATAAAAGCAGACAAGAAATGATTATTTCTCATTTCAAGGTTAGTAGATTGTTAAACGAATGCCTTTGGAATGAATGTGTTCAGCTTGTGTATTATTCCCTTCCAGAAATTAACTAAAGCAAAAGTGATTATGATTCATAATATACTGCAAAAGTCTGTGGTTTGTGTTCATCTACTAGGTTAAAAATAATTAAAGTCTGTATGTATGTGTTAAGAGTTGCTTTTTGCTAAATCTGTCATCAAGATTATAGTAAGTAGCTAGAGGGACAGTCTTTTTATTATAGGATAGAAATAATGGGAGAGCAGGTGGGTGTGGGGGAAAGTTCTCAGTTCCTCAAATTTAAGATCACTACCTTTACTGTGAGTGTATTTGGTAATTGTTAAGTACCAGTAAATTTTAAAAGAATTTCAGTCTATAAATCATTTGTTGTGATAATTATAATTTTGAATATGTAATTGTATTCAATATATTTTGTATATTGATAAATCATGTTTTTAATAAGAGTAGGATTATATGTATGCATTGAGGGTTACATTTAACTTTTAACATGTTTTTAAATAATAGCCAGATAAATTGATCTTAAAAGTCTTGTGAATCTTTAAACTTGATATTTGATCATATCTTGATCAATGTCACCCCTTCCAACATCATCAACCATCCCTCCCCTCCCTACCCCTTCCCTCACTCGAAATTTTGTAGGATATACATTGGATTCTTCTCTGCCTTCTCTCCATCTTCTCCTTTTCATTTTTCTATCATTTTCTCTTTGAAAAAAATTACTTATAACAGTATAAAGAAGGCATTTCCATTTTGGACCCAGATTTGGCCTCTGTTCCAGTCCTTTATCAGTGACTATTTTAGTCTGATTATTCATAATTCTGGAAAGAAAGTCTTCTACTGAAACTCTGTGTAGTAAATTCTACCAGTGCTAGAAAGCAAATGTTTTAGGGCAGTTGATTCTTCAGCCCATACTGCTCTATGAAGGGTTGTGTCTATCAGCTTCTCAGTGTCATGAACCAGTTCTCTAGCTTGGACTGCTTGCTTGGCATACATCCTGTTCACAGAGTGTAATGAGCAAGACTCATTTGCCAGCTGACAGTTTCTTCCAATTAATTGTGCATTATTTTTTGTTTTAATTTAAGACATACAATTAACTGTGATTTACTATGTTTGGGCATGTGGGCCTGAGACAAAGGAAACACACTAGAAACTGTAGAGAGGCTAAATAGTCAAAAATGGGATGGCACTAGCAGAACAATTAGAAACACAGGTATTAATTCAGAGTTTGCGTATGAGGAGGAAGAGCTGTAGAAATCATTTCTCTATGTGAACAATATTATAACATTTTGATTAAAAGAAACAAATGTATTAGTGTTTGTATCTCCCCTGCTACTTTCTTATTAGAACAATATATTGCAGAGTAATAACTAAAAAATTATTAAGCCTTTTCTTGCTTTAAAATTCTTCTTTCATTGTCTCCTTAACTAATTTAGGGTATAATATCTTTTTTTTGAGAGTGCCCTGAGATTCAAAGAGGGTTAGAAGCTAGCCCAGGTTTAGTCATACAAAGATCTGTTGCAAATACTTGATCCATATCCTCCAGTCTCAGGTGGCTCGAGCTCTTTAATTTTACTTTATTTCCTTGTAAGGCAGACCAATTCTCTAGTATTAATCATTGTAAGTATGTTGTTTCTTACATATAAAATATAGAGAGAGACTGCACTAATTATACTACTATCAGTCAATTGCACTAATGCATAAATGTATCAAATAATTTAAAGAATATTTTTGTCTTTTTACTAGTTCAGTAGTTAAAAATGAGTTCATCCTTGATACTCGGCAGATTTTGTCCCCTGACAAAGTAAACTTCACAAAAGATGTAGACAATAGTACATTTATTTATTAAACAGAATTCTAAATTCTGAGTGGTCAAAATGCTTTAGCTGCTTTTTCCTCATAAGCAAAGTCATAGTTAAGTATGTAGTCAAGCTTTATTTTCTAGTCATATTTGGAATAAGTAAATTATACTTGATTTTTAATGATGGTGTCTTTTGTTTCCTAATAGAAAGGTTTGCTTGGCTTGGGTATGATAAAGTTGAGTAGGGGCTGCCACTCATTTCTTAAGTGAGGAAAAATATTTCAAGTCCTTTAGCCAACTGATATTGTCACCTTCTTGCTCTACTCCATGTGTACTGTGGTACAGCCAGACCCAAACTCATTCGCTTATCAGAGCCAAGTAAAAACTTGGCCTGGGATGCTGCTCCTCCTGCTTCTTATCCGCCTGCTTCTTACGTTGTATTTTCTCATCACAGGGGGAGAGCTCATGTCACCTTTCCCAAAATAGAACTTCCTATCAATCACCCATCTTCACTTCTTGGGTAGAACTTCTGGTACACTGATTATTCTATTCACTTTAAAATTTATTTTTCCTTCAGATACTTGATTATAAATTCTCAGAGTACAGAAACTTGTCTTGTCTTGCTCAGTGTTGTGTTACCATGTCTAGAAAGAACGACATAATAAATACCACATCATTGTTGCTCAGTAAATATTGGTAATATGAGTATGAAATACACATGACCAAACCAATTCTCAGTCTAAAGACTAATTGAATTTCTGTTTTATTAGCTTTAGCAAACTAGAAATTTGCTGTCTTGTCCATGTACAATTTGCAGTTCTCTCTGTGCAGATGGAATCGAGTTCAAGTTGTTCTGAGCCTTGGACTGCTTTGAGATTTTTACATATAAGGCCCTTTGTTACCCTCTTGGTATTTACTGTGATTGTAACCTTAGGTTGAAGAAATAAACATCACTGAGTGTATGTAAATATGCTGAAAAGATGCATAAAGTTTGAAGTTTACTGTGCAGTCTTGAATCATTTTCTAGTTGAACTGTTCTTTTTTTTAAAGTATGTTTTTATTGTAAAAATACTGTACAGAGGGGTTACAGTTACATGATTGAGGTAATGAGTACATTTCCTATCAAGCGTTGTTACCTCCTCCTTTGTTTTTCCCCTACCCTCCTTTCCCTCCCACATGCACAACTATACCCCCCTCCCCCCCTCCTCCCTGCCTAAATTATAAAGTTTGTTTTTCAACATAGTGTCTTGTACATCTCATTGTTACAGTGGGTCAACCTGTATCCCTGTTTAAACATTTTGTTTTTTCCCTTCCCCTCCCCAAGCTAGAGAAGTGTATATACAAGATGCAGGGCACCGACATCAAATACAGTGAAAACAGGGGTTATACCATGGGGGAGGAGCATACAAAAAATCACATGGTACATTATAAATATGTTAGGAACAATAGCAAGAAAGAAAAAAAAACACTTGTGTCCCTATCTTGGGGTTCATTTCACTTAACATCATCTTATCTGGTCATAGGTACATAGCTTTTGACCTTTTCTGCTTGTCCCAGACATATACTAGTTATTGCAAATAAAGGAAATCATAGGACCTATGTTTCAGAAAGAATGACATCGCCCCATTTGTTAGGAAATGGAAAGACTTGGAAGAAATTATATTAAGTGTAGTTGAACTGTTCTAAGCAGTCTATAAGTGGATACCAGTTTATTACATTCGAGAAATCAATTATCTTTCCTGAGGCTTAACTTTCTGTGGGGAGGGGATTGAAAAGATACTGTCTAAGGTCCTTTTACTGCTGGCCTTATGTATTGGACATTTCTGAAATTATTAGCCTGTTTTCTAATGACCAGTTATTTGCTGGTCTATTTAATATACTTAATCAGTGCTATACCATCCCTCCCTAGAATCTGACTTTTGATTCTATCTTTTACAAATTCAAATAGATGTTATACCTTTATCATATGCAATGAGAGCACATTGAAAGAAAATTGTTGAGTTACTCTAGGAAATGCATAATTTCATCAAGTACTTAAAGTTTATTTGCAGTATACTAGTATGAAAACATAACTGTATTTTTCTAAGTAAGATTAAAGAAAAATAGATGAAGCTGTAAAATTGCAGCTTCCTTCAGTTCATGTAAAATTATGCTGGAATAATTAGTATTTCCCTATTTTAAGGTTCATGTTATAACCATATAAAATGACA